ACTATAGGTATCATTCTATAGAAGAAAATTAAATGAATTGATAATATATCCTTCAGTCCCATCCATGTCCTTATTTCATGTTTTGTGCATTTGTTCATATTTTTTTAAAAAAATCTCATCAGTTGAACAGTTCAGCTACAAAGTTATCCAGCTACCTTTTTCTTTCAAGCATTTGTTAGAATGGAGAGAGTACTGTATAGGAGTCAAGAGACATAGAGAGACAAATTATCCCACTGTGAACAGAACCATGGTTAACTCCATTGCCTTGCACTTCAGTGTGGCAAAGATAAACACTAGCTTTGCTGTAGCTTCAATCTTGCATGATTATTGAGCTAGAATAAGCTCTGCTTTCAAACTGGCACAAAGAGCTTGTGCATACATGGCTAACATGTAATTATATTTACATATCCATATTCTACTATCACCTTGATGTGCTGCTGATTTCTATGGGGGAAAAGATATGGAAACACCAATAATGGAATTTCATGTACCTTGTTTGTTCATAGAAATAAAGATGAGTTGGCCAAGATTGCCATGATTTTTCTTACAAAAATATCTAATAAGTGGAGGCCCTGAGCCACTATGAAAGGTTAAACTGTATTACCAGTCCTCTCCTCTCTATACAAATAGGGAAATGAATGAGATAAATGAGAAAATGGCATGGAGACTATCACCAACTGAATTCAAAACTTGAGACATGATGATGACTTCTCAGAGTTGCCAAGAACATTAAACAAATCCATTGGTGTAAAATTTATTTATTCAGAAAATTTACATAGCCATCTATTCACTCACAGTGACAATAGACAGCTTACAAATGTTTTACAGATAGTGCACAACTCTTTCAATAATTTCCACAAAGCGAACAGCATAAATCCATAATAAAAGTTAACCAAATTCAAGCAAAAATGAATAGAAACAGAATCCAAAACAGCAAGGCAAACATGTATATATGGCTTTTAGGGGATCTATCTAAATGTTTATAAACACTATAAAAATAATTGGGAAAATAGTTTATGACAAGAGAATAATGAAAGACACTGTTAAGTTCTTGGCTAATTGTTGGAAGCAAAAGAAATATAGGACAGTGATTCCAAATATTAGAGGTGAAAGGAATAAAATGTATAAAACCTCAAAGGGTATAAATTTTAAATTTTTTATCCAGAGTTATACAGTATACTAGAGAATACATCTAGTGAAGACATAAAGGCTTTTTAAAATAAAGCTAACCTACCGAAGTTAGATGATACAGGTAATCCTCAACCTTGAGCCCCAAATTTTTGTTGCTAAGCAAGACATTTGTTAAGTGAGTTTTTCCCCATTTTACATTTCTTGCCTCAGTTGTTAATGAATCACTGCTGTTGTTAATTTAATAATACAGTTGTAGATGAATCTGATTAAAAATGACTAAGCAGGGTTTATAAAAACTAGCCAAGCATCAGACGATTTAGTTGTAGATATAATAGATTTGAATAAACATCAATTTATGTTATCATTAGATAACATTAAAAGGCCTGACACAGTATATGAACTGAACAGGTTCAAATTTCCTTTTGAATTTGTAAAATGGGTCATGATATTATGAGTCACCCATAGCTAAAATAAAGGTTAATGGCATGCCTTCTTCTACTTTCCCACTATTTAGAAGAATAAGACAAAGATGTCCATTTTCACCTTTGTTTTTTAATATTTGAATTGAACCCTTCGCATGTATTATTGGACAACGTAAGAGATTTATGCAGTAGTACACAAGTCGATTGAATCCAAATTGTTTGAACCTGCAGCACTTTAGCTTCTGAGGCAGCTGAAATACTGGGATTAGGACTGTTAAGTCTTTTAAAATTAAAAAGACTTGCTATTAGTTTTTATAGATATTTGTTATTAAGAAATTAATTTGATATGCAGATGCTAAGAAATAAATGAAATAATCAGAGGTTCCTATATTGCCTAGACCCGAGAATGGGAGAATGATTAGGTTCTATAGCAAGAGTGCCAATAGATCTCAAATTATGATTTACGTAAGAAAAATATTTATACGTCATTAAAGTCTGTTTTGTTTGTGTAGAAAAGGACTGTCTTAAACAGAATTTTGTTAGAGATGTAATAAGGATTATGCTTCTTTAAAACGCTGTTATGCCTTACACTTAATAAGTTTTGGGGGAATTACTAAATTACATAAATGTAGTTAAGTGACAAAAGCTAACATTTTCAGACAATAATATTCTCTTGAACCACATACCTAGTCCTTGGAATTTAACAAATGGACAATGTAAATAACCTCTCAGCTTTATTATGGCCAAATATGCCAATATTGCAGCATTGGAAAGATAAATCCCTTTCACCAGTGGTGGGATTCAAAAAGTTTTACTACCGGTTCTGTGGCGTGGCTTGGTGGGCGTGGTGTGGCTTGGTGGCCATGGCCGGGGAAGGATACTGCAAAATCTCCATTCCCACCCCATTCCAGGGGAAGGATACTGTAAAATCCCCATTCTCTCCCCACCTCACTAACCTGCTTTCCAGCTCCATCCTCCTGTGCTGGGCAACAAAAAAAGAACCAGCTGGGACTCGGGAGGCAGAGAATAGATGGGGGCAGGCCCAGTCAGAGGTGGTATTTGCCTGTTCTCCGAACTACTCAAAATTTCCGCAGATGGTTCTCCAGAACTGGTCAGAACCTGCTGAATACCACCTCTGTCTTTCACTTAATAGATTGAAGACCAGATTGCACTTGCCACCTATGAGAGGATTGCCTGAAGACATAGGCTTTATATGGACAAATACAATGAATAAATTGAAAAATGAGTGTTATACAAAATAGGCTAAAACGTAATTATATAAATGTATTATAGTACCTTGTTTCTCCAACAATATGGCCTCCCCCAATAGGAAGTCCCAGCATGTTTTATAGGCATGAAATGAAATTAAGCCCCTCCCCCCAAATTAAGGCCTATATTAAAACATGCGAAATGGGAATGGTGCGGGGGCTTGCTGTTAGGAAGTACTTTTGTTGCATACCCGGATATGGTGCTGCCTGCGTTGACCCCGATATGAAGTGCCCCACCAATGCCGAGGTCAACATCCAAGCCATCGCTGCCCGCCCGCCCGAAGATGCAAGGGGGGAATTAAGTCACCCCCGAAAAGACGGCCATTTTTTCAGGGCTCAAAAAAAAATAAGACCCGACCTTATTATATGAGAAACACGGTAATTTATTACATAGCTATGCAAGTTAACTATTTACTGCTAAAATGAAATCTTTCAAGGTTTATTTAAATCATAGTGTTAATGATTTTCAGTTTTCTTTATATAAATACCATTGTATTCAGCCATCATCTGTATTCTATAATGCATTATTGCATTTTATAAAGTCATAGATCTATTTCAAAAAAGCACACCTCTGAAATGTTGTTTTTTAAATAGAAACCACCGGTGACAATTGAAGTAATGGAGGAAATGTCTACAGAGGAAACATAAGAAATATTCCAAAACAAATATTTCCATCTGAAGGATTGTTTATAAATATCAATACCACCTGCCACAGACCAATGATTGAAAAAAAAAAAAACATTCTATAACTTTGTGGATAAAAATCTTGCTCTTCATCATTGTCTCAGTTTTGTTTCTGGCTTTCTTGTTTATATAAAAAAAGTTATATTAAAAATATTTTTACATTTTAAGCAAACTAGTTTTCCTTCAGAGTTGCTCTTGCAAATTGGGCAGCGAGCTATATGACAGAGAAGGAGGGAGGGAGGGAGGACGGAAACGCCCACCACCGTTACAATTCGCAATATATCTTCTATTACTCCCTGAATATATTTCTCTCCTTATTCCTTTTTTAGTGGTGGTGGTGGGGAGATGAAGGGTGCACAAAAGGACTGGGCCAAAGTCATCTTCTACTTTACTTTCCAAAAAAGACCCATGGCACTGCTTAAGGTCTAGAGAAGCATTCTTGCCCTTGATGCTAAAGGTTGGCAATTTCTTCTGCAGCATGCCTCCTTCAACTCCTTTTAATAAAGAATCTCTTTAAAAACAGGCAGGGGTTTTTGGCAGGGATCCAAGCACCCCAAGTTTAGACAATGTGGTATTCTACTTTTATTTCATCTGTTCTTCTTGGCGCTCCCAAGGAGCAACTGCCACTGTGCAGGAGAAGAAAAGTCCGGGTGCCAAACTGGAAAGCGACCTCAGAAAGACCCAAGAGAAGCCGCCACAGTAGTTCCGTGGCTCGAAGGACACCGTCTCTCGTCAAACGTAACTAAATCTCGGCTCTTCAGATCGGCACGCTGAGCCTTCGGACGGGTGCGACGAGCCTCAGGGCAGACTTCGAGCAGTCCTATTAAAATAAATTCCACTTCTTCTGGGTGGCGGTGGTGGGGGGGGAAGGGGAGGAAGATGTCTCTACACCTACGTCTTCACACGAGTTAAGAGAGAAACTGCCAGGCGGGCATTTGGAGTGAGGGAAGGAGGGAGCTGGTGACTTTCCAGACGGGAGTTGGGGAAGGAGCGCGCGCGCTAGAGTAGCTGCGACGGTTACCATGGCGATGAACACACCACACCACGATTCATCCCCTTCCTCCAGTCGCACGCAACTCCCCGTTGCTATGACAGCAGCACCGCCAATGGAAAGCCGCATTAGAAGGCCGCCTTGCGGGCCCACGAGCTGACAAGGGAAGGGTTTCGCTGTGCACGAAAGACGGAAGTGGGTCCCGTTGAGCTTGGGCCGCGCCCGGAAGTAAGGGTGGGAAGGTGGAAAAAGGAGGCATTGACAGGGAGGCCCGCCGGTTGGTAGTCAAACACCTGCCCGGCTGCCTTCGCGCGAGTCAGGGAAGGCGACAGCCGCCTTCAACGTGGAGGCGGGGCAGTTCGAGAGGCTCTCGCGATAATTCCTTTCCCCCAGTCAGGAGGCGGAGAGCGGAACTGTTCCTCCTCCCCTCGCTGCTACCTCTTCCCCCTCCTCCCGCCTCCCGCCTCCTCCCTCTCCAGGAAGAGCTTGGGCCCAACACGGGAAGATGGCGGCGGCCGGAGGCGGCAGCAGCAGTAGCGGCGGCTGCGGCTTCCAGGCTGCGGAAGGACCCGAGCTGTAGACCCCGACGCGGGGCCGGCGTGGACTGGCGGGCAGCGAGAGGCGGCGGCAGAGGATGAGCCTGCTTTGCGCTCAGTATCTCCGGTGAGGAGGATGGGGAAATCCTATTGAGGATGGGAAGCACGTTAAAGACAGAGAGAGAAAAGGGGGGAGAGAAAGTGTGTGTGTGTGTGCTGGGGAAAGGGGGTGCGGGTAGATTAAACACCATTTGGGAAAGATGTATGGACTGGAGGAGCCGCTATCCCAACAGGAAACTAGGAATAATCAAAACCCAGCTTTACAAGATCTGGAAGAGACTTCAGTGTGTGAGTGGGAATGCTGTTCTTCTCTTTGGAAAGGAAGGTTTCCTGGTGAAGAAGATAAAGGAGAGGGTGACAGGAGGGAGAAAAACATATGTTCTCCTATAAGGTGTTTTTTTTATTACACATCCCTCAATTCTAGCATTGATAGTATTAGTTAACTGACGCTTATTCAGCAACTGTGTGTCCTGAGCATGTGTGTGTGTGAAAAATCTACCTTCCCCTCCAATCGGTCTTTTATTTAAGGTTATTTAATATCGGGTTTGGGATTTGTCTGGTGTTTCTTTTGAGCAACATGATTGTACCTGAAAAAGTAAGTGAATAGACATGGGGTAAAATGGAACATGGATTCCTCACCATCTCATCAGCCTTTCTGTGCTCAGTACACACCTTCTGAAATAGAGTAACATTTCAAGGAGCGCAAGCTATGTTAAGGCTGGGTGTAGGTGATACAAATAAAACGACGTGTGCACGCACATGCAGGAGTTGATAAAGGAGGCAAAAATTAGAGAGTTGTTCTACAGAGGAGAGAGTGCTCTAGCCTGTACCAAGAGGGAGATATAGTGGGAAATGTGCAGAAGGGCAGTGACGTTTCATGGCTGATGGGTGAGACAATGGTTGGCTGAGCAAATGAGAAGACTATATGGCAGAGAGGAACAGGCTATTAGGGAACTGAAGTGAGGAGCTCTTGTTCATTTAAAGATGCAAGTGCTGTCCTAGATATAAGTATTGTTAATTCACTTATCTCTCAGCCTGAATTGTACTTGCAGTAATTGAAAGCTGTCCTATAAATTCAGTTCTGCAGTTATGCTTTACGTTGTTAAATGGTACAAGAATTTACCTCTGGTGTAAAGTTAATCAGTAACTCCCATAAATATTTCTGTGACTTCAATCTTTAAGGTGCTTTATAATTAATTTCCAAATTATGATAACTTGGTTATCAGTCCTCTGCAAGTCTCTTCTTCTAAGCCTGCAGTGCCAGCTAATTGTAAATCAAATTATTTTGTCTGGCAAGAAAAAGAGATAATTCAAGTGGTTAAAGCACCAGGCCAGAAAGTGGGAGACTCTATTCCTTCCTTAGCCATGGAAGCCAGCTGGGTGACATTGGGCCAGTAAGTTATTCTCAGCCCAACTTGCTTCACAGGTTGGTGGTTGTAGGAAAAATAGGAAAGTGTGTTGAATATGTTTGCCACTTTGAGTTATTTGTAAAAAAAAAAAAAGATGGGATAGAGAGAAGAATAAAAATAAGATGTTTGTTGTTGGAGGATGCCTTTACTGAACATAGTTTTTGGCCATAAAATATATCATGAATAAAGAAAAAACACTTCTCAATTTTACTATATTATACCTCAGATATTTCTTTGCATTATTCTGTCATTTTAAATAACATTAGCATAAATATATTTGCAGATTATTTCAGTGCTATAAAGTTGTATACATGTCATTGTTATTATTTACCCAGATAATAGAATAATATAGATAGCATACTCATGGACTTATTTTTGTTTTACCAGCATATAAAAGTCTTATTAACAATGATTTTTTTTTAAAAAAATGTTGATGTATGTCCTACAAGACCATACTGACAACTGTAAATTATTAAGCTGTAAGAAAATGCAAAAAAAAATAATTCTTATGTGTTTTAAAGCAGTATGTCCAAATAAAGATTTAGCCAGTTTTAGGCTTTCCCAGTGAAAAACCTGCATGTGTTATTGGATAATGGATCCTCTCCATTTTGTAAATGTCTGCATACTTGGAAGCTCTAAAGACTTGCAATTGGAGATAAATTTAGGAAACACAACACCTGATTATTTTGGGGAGGCTGTTTTACACCTCAATGATTATTCTCTGTCACCTTTAGGTGGTTTAGGCTTGCTCTTTGGAGCCTTCATTTCTTTCTGTTAAAGCAGAAGTTTAGCTTCAGGGGAGCTAAAATGTTCTACAATGCTCTTATTTATATACTTTATTCTATATTTTCTTCTGCAGCTTTGAATTTGGGTACATCATTGCACCAAAGATGTCCAATCGTGTATCTCATGTTCTCCTTTTTCCATTTTCAAAGAGAGAGAACAGGGTTTGGAAGGATAAAGTAAAATAAAATGACCCTGTAATCCCTTAAATTCAGGGTAGAGTGGGGTGGGGGGGAATTGGATGAAGCTGAACATTTACTGGCTGGATGCTCTTCCTGATGCCACAAGAGTTCACAGCAGATATTTTTTTCTTTGCACCCTAGGAGAGAAATCTAGGAGAGATTTTTTTCTGCTGCTACCTAGGATTGTACTCTCAACCTTTGGAGTGGGAGGGAGAAGGTCTTCAACATTAGGCCACCACACCACCCTTGGAAGGATAAAGTTAAATAAATGTATTAAATGTACATAAAGAAAGGTGATGCTGGTGAGAAATATTTATGCTTTAAGTGCATTCAATAGTTTAGCAGTTGAGGGGTATGATTACAATGTTGATGCAAGTTTCCCACATTGGCTGTCATTCTTCTGAATTTAAGATGCTAACTGTAATTTGAAAAGTTTTGAACTACGTAACTTTCATTAGGATCATGCTCTGTTTTTGGATCAACTCTCCCATCATCTTTACCAAATCAGGCCTTATTTAAGTTTCACTTATTCCAGTAAAATGAATAACTTTTGCTGGTAGCAATGCCTCTGTAATTGTAGACCTAGCTTCTATTTCTTCATCGAATGTAGCAGTTTCCTTTCTTCATTTTTGTTCCAGAGAAACAATGACTTTTTGTTTCATCAGTTCTCTTGGAGATATGTCTCTAAATATATATTTTTAGTTTACCATTTAAGTTAGAACTGTATTTCTTACTTTTTTTTGATAAGACGTTTAGTAGAATATAGACTCTTATAATAATAATTACATTATGGCCTATTTGAGGAGACAGGTGTTATTTTTACATATTTTCTTACTGTTCTTGTCTTATTGCTCTTGTAAATTTGCCATTGAAATTGATCCCAAAATAAAATTTTCCTAGAGAAAGACAACTTCTGTCATAGTATTATATTGCAAATATAAATATATTGCAAATATATTTATAAATATTGTGATGAAAAGTCAAAGACACTATTTGGTAATTGTAAAACCAAATAATTATTGTGACCCTTAAATATTTTTCACCTCTAAGTGACAGTCAATGAAGTTGGGCAGCCAATAAATTTAAATCAATTAAAATAATAAGTGAAGTACATAAAAGATTAAAAGATATTATATGCTGCAAAACTAATAACTAAATTATAAACCTTACGAGTGAAGTCACCCTGATGTCTGAGTAAACATGCATAGGCTTATAGTTTAAAATTGATCCCAACTTCTACTTATTCTCTGAAGAAGTTGATAATACATAAGCCACATCATATTCATATAAAGCCTAGGATATACTTATGACATTTCAAAAACATGAAATAAATTCTAATCTGACTAAAGTGACCTCTGATAAATAAAATGTTATCTCGTATTCGAGAAGTGGAAAATCTGTATTTTTTAAATATGTGGGATGTGAGTGCAAATATGAAATTTCAGTGTAACCTGTTTCAGAAGTTGTGATGTAAATAATTGTGTTGTAGGATTATATATGTTGTCTTAAACTCCAAATACATTGTTCTTATATTTGACTTTGAAGATATGGTAGTGCAATTAAGTATAATTTTCAATTTATTATTACGTTGATTGTGGGTTGCCTTTGAGCCTGTTTGTGGGTAAAATACACAATGAATTTATTTATTTATTTATTTATTTATTTAGTGTTTATTTAAAGTCTAGTGAATGAGATTAAAATCTTAATTAGAACTGATGTTCAATATGATTATCAAAGAATCTATTAATAGCCTGTTCAGATTTAAAAACTCCAGTTTATATCAAAATGGTATGCCTTTTCTATTTGGCTGTTTAATATTGTATGTATAAATTTCTTGATGTTTAAATGCCTTTTTTTTTTTTTGCTTAAACCTGTGAGAGATAGTAGTCTTATCTCCTCTACAGAATTTAATTTCTTATGCTTGAATTGATCTTCCACCTTTTCTTTTATAGAGGAGGAGGAAAATAAATAGTTAATGATCTGTTTTCCTCAATGTATTTGTGGCCTCCAGTGTATTGGGCTCTCTCTCTCTCTCTCTCTCTCTCCCCTTCCTTCCTTCCTTCCTTCCTTCCTTCCTTCCTTCCTTCCTTCCT